GAAAACATCGGACATGCACAGCAACACCAGAAAACTGTGTACGACCGCAAATCACGCGGACCTCTGTACGAAGTAGGCGACTTTGTGCTTCTACACCGGCCGAAACCACCACCGGGTGCGCCCGCAAAATTCCATCACATGTGGCAGGGACCTTATGTTATCGTTACTAAGAGACCAAACAACACCTATGTCATTCGTGACCCTTCTAAGCCACATACGGATGTACAGTGTGTCCATTACAATCAGTTGAAGCCCTACCCTTCACCCGTCCGGGCACCCAGCCGTCTACATCCTCCTATCTCCCACCTGTCAGCCATACTGTTGAGATCAGTACATCCGGCACGAACACTCCTGAGCACTGAGGACAGTGCTCCTACTCGGGAGGGGGCAGTGTAACGCATTTGAAACCCGACTGACCTGATTGTATGCCTATCATATGACATTATGTGTGCCTCTCCCTCCCTCTCTTCCCCTATTACAGGTACCACGGACGAGGTACCACGGGCCCTGGACAGGGAAGAGTATCCCGCTTGTACGCCCCCCTAACTGACCTTGACCCAACCTTGCACACCCCCTCTCCTTCCGGTTTCGGTTCGGGTTAATACACGTGCGTTGTTGCTACACTCCGGTCTTCTTCCCTGTACCACCCGACCTGTGCGCATGTGTGCTGTGTATACCGTGTGGATCCATTAATACCAGCCCGTATATCTGCACATTTCAGAACTGACGTGTGCCGTCGCTACATCCTGTCGAACGTCGAATACCGCTGACTTCCTGACATCCCACGCTACATACCTGATGATAAAAAATCGCGAATTGTGGAAAAGGTTGACTCACATACAATGAACGTAACTTTCAGTTATTTTTCCACCGGAACAGATTTTCTCAACATTCTAGAAGCTAAATGGCCTTTGGAGATGCAAAATATGCGTAGGCGCATTCATGCAAACAAATTTTGGTCGATGATTCTTTGTTGCCAGTAAAAATTCCGTAGTGCACGCTAATTATTTGCTAAACATCGTGCACGTTGGCTGGCAAATTACAGTCTTTCATTATAGGTCCCGAATTATGCTAGAAAGACCCCCAGGTGATCTCATCTCTCATCATCTTTCAGAAGAGTTCGATTAAAACAAATCGCCAAAAATGACGGCAGATGAGGACGGTTTTCAGTCTACTATGCAAAGATTATAGGTCCCGAATTATGCTAGAAAGACCCCCAGGTTCATCGATCTCTCATCATCTTTCAGAAGAGTTCGATTAAAACAAATCGCCAAAAATGACGGCAGATGAGGACGGTTTTCAGTCTACGCATATATGCAAAGAAGTGCAACATTTTGAAGTTAAAGTTTTTATTTCGCCCACAGGGGTTTTGCAGAAAATGCATTGTGCCTCTAGCCGCTGGCAGTTGAAATCTAAGTGGGTCGCTCGCTATCAAGGGCCGGTGACTATAAGCACGCCCAAATTATTTTCGCCGAACCTATGGGGTTTTCGAAGTTGTGACCTTACCTGGGATTTAGTCTAATCCATTTGCACCTTCTGGTGACATGTTGCTCGTAGCAATTTGTTTAAATCAACGAAGTTTCAAGCTCACAGACCATCAGAACCTCACATTTTCGTGCCTGTTCACGCGACACAGAACACGAAATCGCACCTTCGCGTATTTAGGTTTTCTTCGGTGCTTTTTAAGAATAGAAAACATCTAAAGAATATCTAATGCAAATTTCACCCTGGAAGACCGGTTGTTGACGGTTCCTTGTGTTATACTCCTCAGATTTAACAAATGCTATTGTAATCGCAAAATATAATCTGCTCGGCGAATCTACTCACAACACGTTTTCCCGTTGATCTCAACTTTCAATAAGTACAATATTGTCCCAGTTAGCACCGGTGCAGAAACTTCTGCATTATGTCTGCACCCGGGTGCGGACATTTCCGCATAGTGTCCGCACATTTCTGCACCCGATTGCGGAAGCAGTGCGGAAAGGAAACAAGTTTCTGCACCCGGGTGCAGAAAATTCTGTACAGTATCTGCACACCCGGCACCCGGGTGCGGAAATTTCTACATAATATCCGCACAGTTCTATGGTGATCTTTCTGACCATTGTACAATAGTGCTTTCTTTGTAACTTATCATTACTCAAATTGTACCACTTTCTATCTCTCACTAAAATCTCATCTTATTCCTGTTCTCTTCATACCGAATAACTTTTGTTTAAATGAAAGCAAAAGAAATATGATAAAATACAAATTCTGTACCTCGTGGAAGACCTATTCCCTTCTTGCTGTGTCGAGTTACGCTGTCAGTGAATTAACGAGCGGTGATCTACCTTTCAGACTACGACGGGATAGAAGGTATCTAGGAATATGTCAAGGGAGATTCCAGGAAGGAGATCGATTTGGATTGGCTTTGGTGGTAATAACTAACTCCACCAACGAGCTGTGAGTTGTATCATCTCGCCTATTTTTACTCACTTGATTTAACTACTTTGAACTGGTATTTGCTAGGGTTATCCACTACAGTTCTGCACCCGGGTGCAGATTCTGTGCGGAAATGAGACAAGTTTCCGCACCCAGTCCGCACCCGGGTGCAGAAATAGTGCAGACGTTCCCGCACTCCGATGCGGAAAATTCGTACTCGGTACCGCCATTTCCGCAATCAGTCCACACCTAGCTAAAGTCGCCGATGCGCGATACAGCCCATTATGCGCATATATCTGTTTCCCTAGTACAATTCAGCAACTTTCTAAACACTACGCTCTCATGCCGTGATAACCCATCTACCCCCATATAACTGATCAGCGTATTACACTCCCGGATACCAATAAGCGCTTTCAAGTACAAGAGTTTTATGAATGAATTTCAAAAAACACAGGGGGGTATAATTTGTCTTTCTTGGTGGCTCTCTGCAGGCGTTACCGAAGTCTATCCCGCTCGTTCTCCAGCCAGCGATTAGCGATTTCCTTTGTTTGTCGCAACTTTGTGTTCAGAAAATTCTCAATTGTCGCGTGTGTAATGAAAACGATAGTTTTTGAATTTCATCGATTCAGGGCGCTGAAAAACTAAAACGTTTGTTGATTTCAATACGTGGGTGTAAAATAGGAGAATAGTATTGAATGTCTGACACTCAATAGTATCTGTAGAAAATCTACAATGACAGCTGGTTGAGCATCAAGCAAAATGCAGTTGTCGAGAAAGTCTTTCGAAAAAACGACAGCCCTATGAACAGACCTGTGACATCCGGCAGTGGGTGATGGCCTCAGTCGCATACACACATCATCCAAAAATATCTTCCTTTCGGCAGCATCCAATCCCACACGCTCGGCCAGTTGGTGGCAAAGCTGAACAGCTGGTGGTTTATGCCCATGTATGTAGTGCTTCAAATGCCCCAGCTCTGATTCATAGGGAAAACAGGAAAAACGATCCAAGTAACCGTAAAGCTTGACGAAATTAAATAAATGGGAGAAGAGGTATATGTTGTAGACTAAATGACTGGGACCAAAACTAGCAGCAAATTTTGACACAGAAACCTTGGAAACGTCAATGAAAAATCAGCATAGTGTTGTGAAAAAAGGTTAAAGGCCTTTGAAAGTGGTTACCGGAAAATACATGGAGCATTCGTAGACGTCAGGGTATAAGATACCTCGTAAACCGACGAGTTATATGTACAGAAGGAGCTGTCGTAGTCAAATGCCTTTCACCGATCCAGGTCTACGACACCCCGACATTTTCGGGGGAAATCAACACTTAGAGCCAAACTCTGTTGCTCAATGTTATCATTCAGTTAATTCCAGGACTCCAAAGAAAGCCTGGCCTTATGTATACCTGGCATAGCTCTGAGTAAGATGAGAAATTTCCACACCAAACCGAGACCAACTGTGCGTGTAATCTGGTGGAAAACCAGCAATCGTGGGAGAATTTAACTCCTCCATCGGACTTGGACCTGTATGGTGCCTCTCTTGCTTTCTGGTTCGGAAATCAGAGGGACGAGTCAAGGGAGCTATCAACGAGGGAAAAGTCGTTCGTGTATCAATATGCACACCCTTTTGTGTACAATAATCACTGCCATAATATCCCGTATGTCCTTTCACTTTCTCCAGAAAGGCCATAGCAGGAGTGTCGCAAATAGTGCACTATAGCCGCACGGTATGAAAATTGTAAACTCCGGAGACACCGTTCACCAAGACGTCCGGCAACTCAGCGATTGTATCAGACATCAGCTGATGGGCACCGTTGAGTTTATGCTTACCACAGTATATTCCGACGACGATAGGCTGATCGGGAAAAGGGGAGATTGTGCAAGAGAGTATAGGCCACACTTGAGTACATGGGTTATTGTAGGCCCGAATACCGTCAACGTCCATTTGAATATCGATGACTGTCACCCTAGCATGAATCTTACGGAGCTGTTGCAGCAAACCTGCTTTCACCTCAAAGTGAATTTACATCCCACCGGTCTTCTGTCGCACGCGACAATGACGGGGATTTTTCATACGGTCCGTGAATCCTTCAGAAGAGGCGGAAAAAAGTACCTGAGTTCGTCCAACACAACGGCTAAACCGGATGAAAGTAGGTTCAGCCTTCGCTACATTCGACCAACAACCGTTAAAATACTTCTACCTGGTTGTGAATGGTTTGAAAAGGATATTGATGAAAAGCAATAAGAGTGTAAGCAGAACATACAGGCTGATCCGTTCAACGACTTGCAATGGGCTGCCTTGTGGCGAAATACAGGAAACAAAAGGTTCTCCAGGGACCGCGGTAATGAATGTCTTTCTGGTCCCAAAGTCCCGATAACAGGGATCTGGAAAACCGCCAGCGAACAGCGTGGTAACCCACCGCCTAGTTTATCATCTGGGACGGTCAAGTGAAACATATCTAGAACCTATCAACTGATTACTCATGAGTCTTACCCTCAGATAGTCGACTAAGGGCATTATGGACGCATTCATCAGTCGGGCTACGAAAACAGCCACTTGTCACAACCGCCTGTCGTACTTTCCGATATACCGTTGTTCTTGAAGAGCCTTTACGAGCAACACGAACGAACTTCGGGCGCATTGACGATTACTTGAACTGAAAAATATTTTTTCGGTTTCGTTCTCGTAAACGCACCAGGAATAGAGCATATGAAAGCACAACAAAACTCACTCTCAGCCGCACATGAGGACAAGCAAAACACAGTGCTTCTCGCGCGCAATATCGCCGCACACTCAAACAAAACGACTTAACTCGGTCGACGGTTTGCATTCCGTAGGGGACCGGAAATGCAGGGTATTGTGGTTTTTTTAATACTGCGAGACAAATAAAGACGCTTTGATGCCCATTAAACTTCTTAATCTCCCGCGGCTCAAAAGCCAAAAATGACGGCAGAAATTCTGCGGATTCCGCACAGGTATTTCACCCAGGAGCGGACGCTTGCTAACCGTGTATAACCGTGCTCGCTCTCGCTAATATCTGCTACATGTTGTAAACTCCAGGCCAGTACATATGGGGCCGGTGAAAATGAGGCCCGGAGATGCTTGATATTCTAATCTAACGGCCAACATACTCTTATTGTAGTCGATGTCAAAAAAGTACCTGAGTTCGTCCAACACAACGGCTAAACCGGATGAAAGTAGGTTCAGCCTTCGCTACATTCGACCAACAACCGTTAAAATACTTCTACCTGGTTGTGAATGGTTTGAAAAGGATATTGATGAAAAGCAATAAGAGTGTAAGCAGAACATACAGGCTGATCCGTTCAACGACTTGCAATGGGCTGCCTTGTGGCGAAATACAGGAAACAAAAGGTTCTCCAGGGACCGCGGTAATGAATGTCTTTCTGGTCCCAAAGTCCCGATAACAGGGATCTGGAAAACCGCCAGCGAACAGCGTGGTAACCCACCGCCTAGTTTATCATCTGGGACGGTCAAGTGAAACATATCTAGAACCTATCAACTGATTACTCATGAGTCTTACCCTCAGATAGTCGACTAAGGGCATTATGGACGCATTCATCAGTCGGGCTACGAAAACAGCCACTTGTCACAACCGCCTGTCGTACTTTCCGATATACCGTTGTTCTTGAAGAGCCTTTACGAGCAACACGAACGAACTTCGGGCGCATTGACGATTACTTGAACTGAAAAATATTTTTTCGGTTTCGTTCTCGTAAACGCACCAGGAATAGAGCATATGAAAGCACAACAAAACTCACTCTCAGCCGCACATGAGGACAAGCAAAACACAGTGCTTCTCGCGCGCAATATCGCCGCACACTCAAACAAAACGACTTAACTCGGTCGACGGTTTGCATTCCGTAGGGGACCGGAAATGCAGGGTATTGTGGTTTTTTTAATACTGCGAGACAAATAAAGACGCTTTGATGCCCATTAAACTTCTTAATCTCCCGCGGCTCAAAAGCCAAAAATGACGGCAGAAATTCTGCGGATTCCGCACAGGTATTTCACCCAGGAGCGGACGCTTGCTAACCGTGTATAACCGTGCTCGCTCTCGCTAATATCTGCTACATGTTGTAAACTCCAGGCCAGTACATATGGGGCCGGTGAAAATGAGGCCCGGAGATGCTTGATATTCTAATCTAACGGCCAACATACTCTTATTGTAGTCGATGTCACATACCCTAGCTATTTATCGCAAGTGCAAGGCCTGTGTGTATGCACAACGCTGAGTATGGAGCTTCAACTAAGTCCAGTGGCTCAGTCCAAAGGCCAGTGACGGCCCGTCAAACTAATAACTATACACAATCTCACCTGCCGAGGACACTTATAGTAAATGCCGAGCCCGTACACATGCTCCTAGCTGACTGTGATTTCCCCACAAATGTCGTCCATCTGTCAACCTTATGGCTAAAAATACGCGAACACCTTGAACCAACCATGTTGCTCTGAATTGGTTGCATCGGTACAAACATGATGCGTGGTCAATCCCATTCTCAGTTTTTTACTTAACAGGGTTTATGAAAATATGTGTAGTCGATTACGACTCGTGCACATTTTCCGCGATATCATTTAGAGAACATAATTAAACAAAGTTGCGGTGGCTGACTCACCAAGTGCTTGACAAATCCATTTGTCCACAGTTCTCGATCTGTGTCCGCACTGTTATGAAAGTAAACTCACTACTTGCTGAATTAATCCAATAGGCGATAACGAGGAGCCATGTGTACATTGATGATTCGATAGCGGGACTCAGCAACCATATGTGTTATTGCGGGCGGCGAATTGAAAGTAAAGAGGGTTGTTTACTTGTCGGTTATAAGACCTAGTGGTGTAGACCTGAGTCTTAAATCCTATGCCCACATGCGCCATTAAAAGTGCATCCATGGATGCAGCCATTGAGAAGATCTAGTGGGTGGGTACAAAGTGCACACCAATGGACAGAATAACTTTAGTCGTTTCATGCAAAAACACCTGCGCCTTTTCTTCCTCTTCAAAGATGAGAACGGTGGCTACGTACTCCTAATCGACAAGACTTTTGCCAGAAGGTATTTTAAAACTAGGTTCAAAAGACATTTCACCATTCGTCTCATTATTTCGTCCATCAAGAAATTAAGTGGGAGTGGAGTGAGAGCAATCTCGACGGACACAGCTTTCTATACGGCAGCTTTTGGAGCTCCCTATATATTTCCGTAACACGTCTGCCCCTTTTGCACCTCCTGTATACGACGATGATAAAGATTGCAACGCTGACAACTCTCACTCCAACCGCATGCCCTCGTACAATATATTCCTTCCGCGTGATGAACCTCATCAGCGTTCAACGAGCGTTGGCGGAGTAGTGGTTACACGCTCGCCTCGCGTGTCAGCTGTCTGGGGTGCAAATCCCGGCACAGCTATTGGGTATGCACTGGTGATGAGCCCTAGTAAGAGCGAAACTCGAGTCCAGTGCTTTCCTTTGGTGTGGGCTCACCGGAATAATTACACCAGAACAGGAACACGGCCGTTCAAACGAGAGTGGTGTGGCTATCAACAGAAGTTAAAACTGTTTCTGGTCTGAACTTGTCCTGGTTGCGGCATACATACCGAGCAATCGACCCATGAACTGGACTATCTATTGATAGTAGAGGAATAGACACATCGAGACTCGCCAAATACTCGGGATATGACGTCCTAGAGGCAACTGACTTTGCAAGCCTCGACTCCTTCCTTTAAGCTTTAACAGCTCCCTTCTGAGGTCAGTTCATCATACAAACACGTAAAACCACCAGATATATCTGAACTCATGTCTCTGGAAATTTCAAGCTTCCTTAGTTGCGCACAATCTAGCCAATGCACACTCCCTACTCACATATGTCCTCACCAGTTTGCATCGACCTCACACCCATTATCTTCACCCAAATATCGATTACAGTTTTTGAAATCGGGTATTGTCACCTCATTGAAGTACTCAGCTACTGTGACAACTTATGACTGTCTGTTATTTCGGGAGGCATTCAAATTCTCATCAAAGTGCCTTCTAGCAAACCGTTCGGACAGTATTTTCACATTTTCAGTCCCCAATGTAGACATGTCAGTCCTATTACCCCATTTGAATGGCAGTAATGAACCATCGCGAACTCTCGATAGGCCCAAAAAATCTGGCTTAAAATTGCAACCATAAAACGCTAACCCAAGATGTCCATGTACAGGCTGTCCATGAACCGAAGTACGGCGTCGCGATGACGGTACCGCGCCTACCATACCCGGTTTAATGGCCTGCCCGTAGTTCACCATATATCTAATAT